ATTACTTATGAGTTAATTAAAAATATATCTCTTATATTTATGTTGAAATTATGACAAAGTTTGTTTTTGTCAGCATATGGAACTAATTTAGCTACTATAGTAGCGATTCGTCTATCCGATTATGTGATATTATATTGGATAATAAAATGGCGAATTGAATGGTCATTGCGATTCAGTTCAATTAGTATGCTTCTCATCAGATGGAAAAACTTTAGCATCAAGTAGCAGTGATAATGCAATCCGTTTATGGGATGTTATGACAGGATAATAAAAAGAAGAATTAGATGGCTATTGTAATTCAGTTCAATCAGTATGCTTCTCTCCTGATGGCACCACATTAGCATCTGGTAGTTTAGGTAGGTCCATCAGATTATGGGATGTTAAATTGGAAGATTGAATCGATTATTCATAAAAATAATTGTTAATTATCATAATTTATTAGTTATATCGACTAAATCTCACTTCTTTGGTAAGTTTAGACTTTATGCATCTACCAAACTACTCCTTCCATAATTATTAAAGATAAGTGCTTATATTAAGGCTAAAATGAAGTCAAATAAATCAATTCTTATTTCTTTCGCTAAATTTATGCCATTGTCCTTTATTAAGATTAATATTTAAAGAATCAAAATTTATCCTACTAAACTATTAAACGATTTTACCTTCTGAAGAAATCTTTTTCAATTCCTCTTTTTTTATCTATTCTACTTTATACCCACTTTCGAGGAAGTATTGTTTCTGATTGCTACTACTATCCATATGATTAATCATCTGCTCACTTTTATATAATCACCTCAGATGAATTTTGCCCATAATTCCCCATAAAAATGAGGTTTTGATATTACCTACATCTTACTTTCATCAACAGCTTATCTGTTTCTCTTCTCAACTCCTGTTAAAACGTATCTTTTCTTATTCTTATTCTTATATGTGTTTTTTCCAACAAATACAATATCTTTTAAATAACCTCTAACTGCTCTAGTTCATCATATATTTGCTTTTGTTTAGGTATGTAATAGTAAAGAGGACCTTCCCAAATACTTAAAAGTTCATTATTCCTATGGCTGCTAAAATAAAAAAATATTATTTTGCCCCCCATCTAAATATAGGTCCTTTCTTTTAGTCGTGCACTTGCAATTCATTATCAGAAAATAAATTTTTATCTGTTAATGAAGGCATTTCAATATCTTTTAAATGAAAAAACTTCTTCTCTGTAATTGTATTTCGTTTTCTATTTTAAGTTTGCTTATTTATAATATTTATCAGAAATCACAGCTTCTTACACTTTAACTAATTACTGATAATATCTTAGATAATAGAGGTTTAAAATAGAAACTTAAAAATTAGCATTTTCATGTTTCTATCTTCTAATGGGTTATAACTTATTGAGAAGTTACAAGAGAGAGGAACTATTATTAATAGTGATGATTAAATGAATAATTATTTGGCTAAAGTTGTACACCTACCTCTGAATGATTTAACAACTTCAAGATTATCGATTCCATTTAGATGAATAGAGCTTGTAAATGTAATTATTGGAAGAATATTTAGCATAAAGATAGAAAAACTAAAATGGTTCTGGATGTATTTTGAATATTCCAAACTAAAAGCTTAAACTTATACTTTTGTTAAATGGTGT